GGGGGGGGGAGGGGATCCTTCAAGGCGGAGACGCGCCGCGGCGGTATGTACGCCTCGAGGGCGAGAGATTCAAATTTCGGAGCGGCACTTTACGCCGCTGCGCTCGCGTGAAGCCGGCGCTTTGTTTACGTACTCAACCTGATCCAACCTAGCCTGACACGACGCTCTGGGCAGGCAGTCAGGGACGCGCACGCGCCGCCGGCGCCGCGCATCCACTGCTCCACGCTTCGCCAGCTATTCAACAGGAGCGCTCGGCGAAGCCGCGCAACGTGCGTGGTTCGTGCGTGCGTGCGTGCGTGTATTGTGGTCCTCGGCGTTTCGTGTGGCGCCCGCGCGGCGCGATTCGGCACGCGAGAGAGACGAGCACGGCGCACGTCAGCCAGGCGTTCGCGGCGACGAGGCCGACGAGTTTGTTCTCTCGGCGCCGCGAGAGAACGCGAGTGCGGACGAATCTCGGAACCGCGCCCTCCGCCCTGAGCCGTGAGTCATGGCTGGTATCGTACCGCTGTCTGGTAGATCCGGCAGAAAACAGTGGACGCTCCACGGTAAATCATCGCCCCGGGGTGAAGGTTGAGAGGGGAGGGGGGGACGCAAACGCGACCGGGGTCCGAGGGTCGCCCGGCCCGGGCGAGGACGCGCTGATTTCACGCTTCGAGAGACGCGCACGTGATGAAAATCGCGCGGTATTCGACGCGTACCCCAATACCCGTCTTCTTTTAACACTTTTAACGGACAAGTGCGAATCGTCGAACGAAGGAAATGACGAAAATTACTGACAAATCTCTATTTCAATCGCGACGCGGAATTAAATGAGTCGCCAATCGATCTCTCGCTGATAATTGCTATTCTCTTATTTTAACGTAGTATCAATAAGAAAAAGCGCGTTATTGACAATTGATATGTAATTATTACGTATCAACGAAATTGGAGTAGTCCGAATAAAAATTTTGAAAACGATTAGAATGCAAATCATAGAATATACGAATAATAGAGGATCGTATACACGGATAATAGAATTATATATCATCCGTATGTGTATCGCTTGCAATAAAAACAATACGTGAAACTATCAGTTTATAAACTGTCAAGTTGATATGTGTGTATATATGTCTCGTATATGTGCATGATGTATATATGTGACATACTGGACATGAATTCTGATTATTTTTTTTTCTGATTAAATAGCTAATTCTAAGTCCTATTGATAGATGGGCCTAAAGGTTCTCTTAGACGGTTACGTTCCCGATTGGCAGAAGACGGCTGTCCGGAATCTCAAGTGATTTTGGCCAAGCAGTTATTGGAGGAGCATTGCGGTAAGCGAAGTATACTCTTGACAGCAAAGTTCCTTTTACGTTGTCTCGTTCTTACTAGGCTATTATATCTGATGTATACAATTATATTTACAATTATATTTCAAGAGCTTGATGTTGATAAAGACGAGAACGCAAAATTGGGCGTTTACTGGCTAACGAAGGCCTCGGAGCAAGGAAATCTAGAAGCGACTGATATTCTCAGAAAGTGCTTGGCGACTGGCCGCGGTATCACGGAGCATAACTATTACGACGTAAAAAGCTGTCTAGACATGACGCAGGACGAGAAGTTGGCGAGAAGAGCCGCCAGGGAGATGTTTATGAGGTAAAGAAGAAGTAATTAGACATTATACGAATCAATGTGTCTCACACGCTGTATAAATGAATATGAAACTGTTCAGTTTGTCGAACGGCGAGGACTTCATAACTATGGAGCAGTTGCAAAAACGTATGAGGAATTTGTCATCCCCATCGACCAGCAGTGCCGATTACTTTCAATCGAATAACACCTCCAGCAACTCGTCGCAGAAGGAAGTGAACGACAATGATAACGACTGCTTCCCCAGAAATGGACTTCCTGATGATTCCCCACCGGCAAAGGATGAAGACCGAACGAACGACGGTCACGGTAAAAGAGATTTCCATATTTTTTTTATCACTTGTACGTTACGTTTTTTTTTTTTTCACTTGAATTTTACTGTGCAATCGCAGGTTGGACGGATCAGGGTGAGAAGATTACAGAGGCCGCTCTGGTGTCCGCGGCCGCGAGCTACGCGCGCGGAATGCTTCCGATAGTGTCGCATGCTCTCTGCATGGTGGATCCTTCCGAACTGGCGCTGGACACGATACCGTTGCTGCAGAGGCCGTTCGTCCATCCGTTTACGTCGCTGAAACGTCTCTACAGTTGGTTGGTCGAGACCCTGGGCCACAGAGGGGTGTCGATCAACAGGGTTCTCTTCACGTCGAATCTACACATTCTCCTGCTACTCTTGCTGTACTCCTTGTTCGGCACGGAGAGCCTGTTACTTTTTATACCGATGGCTCTCTACTACCTCTCGTTCGTGGTCATGGTGGTGGCCACCTTCCAAATGCTCCAACGGAAGCGCGAGTTCAACAACTTCCGCGTGTGGTCGGGCCTATTTCTCAGCTACTCGGGCGGAAATCTGAATCCCGAGGAGGCGGAGTATCAGTTCTGCCGCAACAACCTGAAGCCGTACGGGCACTTCTTTCTCGCGCTGTTGCTGAACCTGATGATCTATCCTCTGATAGCCCACCAGTGGACTCCGCAATCTGAATTCACTATAATAGCGGTCACGCTCACCCTCATCACCCTCTGCAGCTTCATGTGGCGGGACTCTTCGCGGTTTCCCGATTTCCTGGCCCTCTTCAGCTTCGGCGTGCACGTACTCGCCAAGTATCCCTACGAGACGGACATGGTTGTGGCGCAGAGCTGGAGATTCTTGGACATCAGGGTGCCAACGTTCGCGTCCTACGTTGTCGGCAACGGCATAGAGTTTTGCCTGAACTTCCGCGCCGTGTTTTACCTCCTGATACCGGCGGTCTTCGCGAAAATGGCCGCGCGGGACGGCTGGCGCGGCACGTATCGGATTCTGATACCCCACTGCGTTACTCTGAGTTGGTGGCAAATAGCGATCTTCAGTTCCCAAGGTGCCACGTGGTACGGCCTGATCAGAGGCGCTCTCGCATTAGTCGGCATGGTCCTGTTTCTTCCAATCGCCGGTATCGCTTCCATCATCCTACCGTTCGTAGCGATTGCCAAATACTTGTCAGAAAATGATCTGGCCATGAGGATAGCGATTACCACTGTTCTCGGAGGAATGCCGTTCTTCGCTTCGTGGTACCTGAGGAAGACCAGAACGTCGAGATTTAATTGGATCATCACGCTCATGCAAGTACGTATATCGTCGTATCTGCTCATCTTAGACTCACAATATTCTTCATGTATTTATTAATATGTATGAGTGTCTTGTAAATTATATCTTTTCTATAGATTGTTCTTGGCGTTGGTGCTGCGACGTTCTTATCGTGGCCGATGTTAATGGAATACAACCAGGATTCCGACGAGACGTACGATATCGCGTCTACCTTAACATGGGATCAGTATCAGAACTACTGTCATCAACCTGCGTGGGAAGAATTGTCGTCGAAGGCGCAAGTGCAGGTGCAATGCGCTCAACTGGAAGGCGTGCCCGTCTCGTGGGAAGGCTACGTGACGAATATTAGAGTGAAATCGATGAAGAACAATATTGCAGTTGTATTAAACAGGTTGCCCGACAACATCAGAACATTACTTAGTTGTATGTACGGTGAACCGTACGAGGAAAAATGTAATTCGGGCGATGACATTCGTCGAAAGAACTGCAAGCACATCACGAGCATTCAAAAGAAAAGGAACAAATGTTATTTTCCGTCTTGGGATCAATACGAGTTTGAGATATTCGTCAAGATGAAAAGCGGCATTTGGGGAAGCACCACGGAGATACGTCTCGTTGCGGACCATTCCTTCACCAATTTCAGTCTGAACATATATCCGGGCGATAAGATTTGGTTTGCCGGCGCGCTTCTGAACAATGGCTTAGAAACGGAATCTCTTCTCGGCGGCGCCGAGCCGCACATCGATTTGGAAGAGGTAGGATGTCTTGCATGCAACTCTCTTGATTTGAAAACGTCTTATAAACGTTACAGGCATCGTATAAGTTTAAGCTCTATCATCAGAGATCTTTGTCTCAGCGTAAAGACTGTATTAAACTTTCTGTTAAATCCGATTGTGATGTTCAAGTGATGACATTCTATATGACTGAATCCTTTAGATCTCTCTAGCTTTTTAGACCTAATGTAGCGAAATTTTCTCGATATCTAATTATCGCCATGTTAAACAGAATTTGTTTAACGCGATTTATATTAAGGAAAAATTAAATTACTATTAGAATTCTATTAGATTCTGAACAAATAAAATTTGGAAACAGAACGCTTGTTGATGTACTAAAAAAAAAAATACAATTTTAAACAAATGTGGTATCTTTGGTATATTTGCAATGTAAACTTTGTCTTATAAATGTCCTAAAGGTATTTCAGCATGGAAACTCTATTAAAAAATTTTGTGTTTGTGACAGACAATTTTATGGAATATTTATTAAAAATTTATATTATTGTAATAAATTATTCATTCATTTTTTGCATTATAATTGAAAATGTACTGTATAAAACAACATGTTATCTGATAGCATGCTACATATAGTATAAACTAAACTGAAACAAGAAATTGTTATATATACAAAGCAGCGTTTCTTCAACGTTTAATACATACATGTAAATGTGTGTGTGTGATATGAAAGTAGAAAATAGTGCAAATATTTCAATGTTACCGAATGCCTCAGGCAATATACATACATACGTACACACACATATATACATACATATATACATACATACATACATATACTATGTATATGCGTGTGTGTATGTATATATGTATGTATACATATTAATAGTTACATTAGGCTTTCATGAACAAGTCATAATTTGCTTCAGAGTATTATATATACATATATACCATATATTTTAAGATTTATATATTTTCCTATAAGCATTGCTGCCAGTAAAAAAAGGAAGAGAGAAACGCTTGATATTTTTGTATTCCGTTTATGGAGAATAATAAGAGATAACATCTTTTTGATCTTGTTTTAACATTGTAGTGAAATTGTATTTCTTACTAGGTTTTTATAGTACATACATTATATCGCGATGAAATTTTAATTAGTTTAACGGCAAGGCAGTATGCAACCTCTGTATTTGTAAATAATCTTAGAATATTAAATAAGCTATTATTATTATTAAGAGAACTATGTTATTTCATAAAAAATTTTGTGCAGTACTGTCGTATACTAACATTCTGTTAGAACACTACTACACTAGACATGTCAAAATTCAGTTACCTGAATAATGCAGCTTTTAAAGAACACTGAAAATATATATACATGTACAAACAATTCACTATACTGTACATCGATGTTAAGTGTTTAGCTCTACAAAATATTAATGAGCATATCTATCTGGTAGAGTTAAGGGCAGTTTCGTCATTGTATCACACAACGACAATAGGAACCAAGACCAGTACAGTAGCAAAGAGATAAGACAGACATAGATGTGCCTTGGTGTTTTCTGTTCGAATGATTTTAATGTTGATAATAAAAGTACTCTATATGCTTCTTCAAGAGCAGACAAATGAAAATTAAATGCGTTAAGACATCACGAATTCTTACATTCTGATGTGCAAATGTATATTTTTGTCATGAACAATATTATATTCAGAAATAAAATTCAAAATGTTGTCTTATTTCAATACAATTGTGTAATGAGTTTTAATACCTTGTATCTAGTTCTTTTGTGAAAAAAGTAAAAAAAAACGTATACCTTCAGAATTATAGATTTATTTATTCATTTTGTATTTGGCAACATGATACATTTATTGTGTCGAATGATAACATCATGTCGATAACAAGACAAGTTTATTAAACGGTTTGGTTCCCTTTTTCTTAGTTTCCATATAAAAAGATTACAGTACAGAATTTTACTATGTAATTATTTTATACTGAGATACAGTAGAATCCCCCACATTGCATATACTTTCATGCGATATTAGATATCACTCTAACACAGCATAATTTATATGGCCAATAATTTGTTTAGAGTTGCAAATCTATAATCTGCAAATAATCTCCATCACAAACTTTATGCAATATGAGAGTTTCGAATACATTAATTTTCCTTATGTACAAATATAAAATCTATGTTAATAAAGTCTTTTCTGTATCTATAATTTGTATACGAAAATAATTATTCAATGTGCAAAAAAAAAATTGCATAGAAATAGAAATTCTGTTTAATTTCTATACCTTATTTAGTTAAACAATATCCCTTTTATCTGTGATGTATATATCCTTAAGTAGTTAAAATCACTGGACTTTAGAATTAATTTATGGTTCCAACCTAGCCAAAAAGGTTCTGGAAAAAGTATATATTACCGCAAAAAGCTTGTGTATGATTTGCATATGGCTTGAAATTAATACATATAATATACGAATTTTTCCAAGACCTTTCTTAAATATAGTTAACAATGTACACGTCATAATACATTCATTACGTCTTCTCATCCTACATATTTTTTTAGAAGTCAATTATGTAAAAAAAAGACTTATTTCGTTAAATTCGACGTGGTATTTCAAGAACTTTGGTAAAGGAACTGTAATAAATACATATTTTTACTGACTATTATAAAATCAGATAAATGTACATTGAGCCCAATCAATGACATCGACAGTTAATCCAATGGAACAACATTCTGTAAATATTGGAATCAGTATCATTAGAATACTTAAATACACACGCACGCACGTCTCTCCTTTACCCTGAAGACTTTTTATTCTTACACGCAAAGGAAAAGGTTTATACTAATTTTCATAACAAAAAAAAAAAAGAAAACCAAATAAAGACAGTCTTATGAGCATATTACAACTTACATCTTACAAATGAAAAATTTCGGATAAAGGAGAAATCGGTAAGCTGCAACGCACAAGCCACACACACGCAATCTAAATCCTGACTTAGTAAAATCGCTTTCTGCTATTTTCCTGATGCTTCTGATAAAGCATAATGACAATGACAACACACACTATTAACACGAGTGCACCGACTAACATCAGTAGGAAAAGTTTTATTCCACTCATGCTAGATTGTTTCGGATCTTCTACACGTTCTGAAAATAAAAAATTTATATTAGAATAATAAATTTATACAAAATCTTATTTAACTGCATACCTCTTGGTGCATCGTAGAATGCTGCTGATGGCACAATTTTTGATCTGTCTTCAAAAGGCTTAGGCTGTAAATTGACATTATATTTTTAAGTATCATTAATTTGTGTAAATTACTATAATCAGTTTACATTTTTATCAAATAACAATATATGTGCTTTACAGGCATATCACACAATTAATATAACGGAAGTATCGAAAAAGAATAAAATCAGTGCTTACATCATCTGGTAGGTCTAGTTCATAAAAACGAATTGACAATATGTCATGATTGTCAGACAAATCACCCGTGGTAGCAGAAATTCCAATATAATATCCAGTTGGAAGCTTAACATCAGACACTTGAAAGCATTGTTTCCATGCTGCTTTGTTGGCAAGGTCCGTGGAGACTTTATTGAAATAAGAAAAAAAAAACATTGAGAAATGTGGAGTTATGTGTATATAGGCATATGTGTATAATTCTAGTCAGTAAACACGCATACATGTGTGTGCATCTACACACACGCAATTGCGCATGCGCGCGCGCACACGCACACACACTTGCAAATCAAGAAAGAGATAATTATAAAGCACATAAAAAACAGGAAACAAAGTACGATTCATTTTAACGTGACAAGACAAAGTACAAACGATGAATAAGAACAAAGAAAGATAGTAGAATAAAGGAAGATAAACGATTATATGACACACGCCACAATATAAAAAAAGCATTGTGTTTAAAACTTGATTTTTACGTACCGGTTAGGACGTCTCTTTCGTATCGTACAGCTATGTGCGTATCGTGTTCCAAGTTTCGAAATTTAGCTTCACATCCAGCAAGTTGAGTATGAGTGCCGTCGCGATCGTGATCGTAATGCAGAGATCCATTGTTAACCATTCCCGAGATATAAGGATGTTGATGCTGTTGCAAATATATTATTTACGTATTAAAGGAAAACATAAAAAAAAAATAAGGCTAAATATAGGATATAAGAACCTTAAGTTTTGTTAATTAAAAAACACTCAAAGTTGCATGCTCTTAACTCGATTACTCAAACTATAATCAGATTTTAGAAGACTGCGTTCAACATACGTTATGTTGACCATTATGATTGCTGTATGTGTCAAGTATCACTGCTAATCCTTGGAAGTAGTCCTGACTCCCGAACACTGGACCGGATTTCATCCTTTCCTTGGTGTACCAAATGACAAAACCATCTCCAAACAAATCCTTTCCTTTTCCGTGTACTTTGAATTGAATTTGCAGTTCCCAATTGTCTATGTAGCATGGCTATAAATATAACGAAAATCTCAACTGTGGCGAACACACATATAATACGTATAATTTTCATACACCATGTCACATACTAAAGTCATACATCTAAGACTCGTGCGTTAATGCACAAGTGAAATACTTGCCACAGAATTCCATAAGGCACCTTGTTTACTTTGTAAATCAGGAGTTAATCTAATGTAACTGTTAGTCACCATCGTACTTCCCATGAAGTCCCAGTAAGGTATCGTCATACCAGTGCCTATTGTGTTAAACATAATCTTATGAATAAAATAAAATATTTACGTAGCGCTGTATAACCTTGCAAGAAGGTCGAAGGCGCTGTAATCCACCAGCCGGTGGAGTAAAAGTAAAAAATAAAATAAAATAAAATATTTACGTATACTACCATATAAAAAAAATAATTTAATAAATATGCTGTATCATAAGTAATTAATTCATAATCCATTTTATATATATGATAAAAAAATATACTAGAAACTCATTGCATGCTTTCTAAACTTTTATCGAAGCTTCATCGATGCTTGCATAATTTATATTACTTATTATTTCAAAATGTATACGTGTACTAATCTTTCTTTCTCTGTGAATAATATTTTGTAACATCATATTGCAAAGAAATTCTTTTTAAAATTATCGATCTATCGATTTTCAGAAGTGATCTATAATTTTTAAAAATAAAAATTGCGTTCTTAAAAAAATAATGACACTTTTAACTCATGTATATTTAATTTTAGCTACGAAACATTGATATAGCGATGCAAGTCTGCATTAATTAATCGCCTTGTAACCTTAAACCAGTAGCGAACTGATTCGCCAATTGCGATTAGATAATAACAAATGAACCAGCATAAATTCTTCCACGTTGGCGCGCAACAGGAAATTCCAAGGAGGAAATTTATAATTGGAGAAAAAAAACTGGAGCATTTGGAGCTCTCGCGTTTCTTTTAAGAAAAAAAACTCGACTCTTTGTCCTATCTACATTTTACTAATCTTGCGACTCAGCTGACGAAACACGTAGATACGTGTTTTTCATTAACGTCGTTATTTATAGAAAAAGATAAAGTCTCTCCGCATTAATTAGTGGCCTCGTAACCTCAAAACCCATAGCCAAACTGGTTCCGCGGATCGCGACTGGATAATAGATGAACGGGCAAATCCTTCCGCGGGCGACGGGACACCCCGGGGGAGACGAGCGACAAGTGCCGATGGCGTTATACCTTGGTACGGCCTGATCAGAGAATGCTCCCGCTTCATGTAGTCCTGCGTGTTCCATTCCGTGGCGAGGGCCTCCACCAGGACGCCGGCGAGCAGAAACAGCCGCAAAATCGCGCCCATTGTCGATCCCTTCCGATCGGGCGTTCCGCGCGCGTCTCGTGTAAGACCACTAATAAGCACGTGGGTGGAAAGAGTCAGTGAGCGCGCTCGTCCGAAGCAGCACCCGCCAGAGTAAAGGCCATTCACGCGTTACGCGACGTTCGCCGAGCTTAAACCAACGTCATCCCCGAGTCGAGTCATCCGGAGTAACCTCCGCCGAGGAATTGTCGGTTTCAACAGTTGGGCAAACTTGGAAATTTCGCTCCGCGCGAAAATGCGACAGTCGATAACGTCGATAACCCCAAAGTGGCGAGGCCCAATTTCCGAAGGAAAGCCCGGCAACTGTACCGATGTGGTCATGAAAGAGTAGAGTTGGCCATCTGTGTCTCTGATAGTATCGGTGACGGAGCGCTCCGGCCGGACCCGGCTTATATTGCGATCTCGAGTCGCTCCGTGATTTTTCGCACGGTCTCTATATGTTTTTCTCAATCGATAACGGCAATCTCGCGGAAGAGTGTTTCGCGAAATAACTTTACGTCATAAACGAAGTAGCATTTTGTCGAGATAGTAGATCGTCGTTATACGTGTTAATCATTACATTAATATCACGGTTTCGACGAACTGCAGTTTTCGAGTGCTCGCGGCCGTGTGTTGCAACCTATGTACTTTAATTCTTATCGAGGGACGAGGATGCGTATAATCGTCGCTAGGTGCATATTTTAATTATTCGTATTTATTATTACTTTATTAATGACTTATTTTTCTATTAACTTGGAGAAAGATAGGTCGGATTTGATTCGCTAGGTGCATATTTTAATTATTCGTATTTATTATTATTTTATTAATGACTTATTTTTCTATTAACTTGGAGAAAGATAGGTCGGATTTGATTTCTACGTTACATCCGCGTAAAATTATCGCGATCGGTTAGCTGCTCCGACCGGCGGCTCCGCTCCGGCCATTTCGATTCGATTCTTCGAGGATCGCAATATCGCTCGATCGATAGTTCCAATCGATCGACACGGAGGCCACGGAGCGCGTCTGCGGCGCGTCGTGTTCGAATTATAGTCGTAGCTCAGTAACTTTTACCGTCCAAAAGTGAATCTCCCAAGTGAAATTGATCGCGAGTAAATAATGACGTGTAATAATTAAATACTCGTTGTCGCATACGATCATTTATTATACTCGTTGTCGCGATTTCGAAATCGACAATCCGCAATCCGGAGTTACCTCCACCTTGGGGCGCAGCATGGTGTATGTGTGTGTGTATTGTACAGTTATGGACACATTGATTGCGACACTTTCTTTTTTATAGATTTCAAAACGCACTAACACTTTGCAAATGCGGACCACGATTGGTGTTATATACTGTCTCTAGACTAAAGATCGTACATCGTGGTTCGCATTTGCAAAATATTATTTATTTATAAAATATATATTATATATATTAAATATATATTAGAAACTTATGAGAAAAAAAGGGTCGCGATCGATGTGTCTACAACTGTACAATACCGTCGTCGTTAGATACGTATTGATCTTTTCCAATATTTAAATAGACGGCAAATAGACGATAACATTATACATTTTGTTTCGCGCGTCTAAAATTGAACTGAATCTACTATTTTGAACTGAATTTACTATTATATAATTGTGTTTTATCTAAAGTAAAAATATGAAAACATGGAAAATTTCATCATCAACTTCTACAGGCCAAATTTTTCGCTTTTCCCCAAGGAAAAGTGTGATTGGCGTGGCATATACTCCGATCTAATCTAAAACGATCGCCATTCGCTTCTCCGCCGGCCGGCTCGTATTCGTACGCGACGCGCGAAAGCGACGACAGCGCCACGGCGAACGCCGCGCGTTTGTAGCACGCCAAACGGGATCTCGCCGCACCAACGCACACGAGGACACGGCAAGGGCGAGCCGGCCGGTTGTACTACGTACATGTGCGTAAGTGCAAACACATAAACACACACCGATCGGTCATTTGTAATCCGTGGCCGTCCGGACCAGTTTCGTTTCGTTCCGTTCCGTGATCGCTCCGGTCGATTTCTCGTCGCCCGTGAAACCCGAGAAAATCCCGCCGAGTCGCCTACCACGAGACTCCGAGAGTCGTCGCCGCCACTCTCCGCGCGTCGTGGTGCAATTTTTTCGTCGAAGCGTCCGTGGAAAGCGGCCGGCCGCTGGCGCGCGTCTGCGCCTGCGTACGCGCTCGCATTCATCGTCAGCCCATCTCGCCGTACGCCGTACAATACAACTACGGTCGGTCAGCGGTTGTATGGCGTCCTGCGTAGTACGTACGTGCGCTTGAACTCTCGACCGGAGCCGTTCGTCCCGCTCTCTCGTGCACGAGATACCCGGCGCCCGCATTCGTTACGGCGAGATCCACGTCGCGAATAGTCGGCCGCGACGAGAGTAAGAAAGGGCGACTATTAATATTTGTGAGCGGTGGAGGAGAGCTTGCGGCAGAAGAGAGAGAGAGAGAGAGAGAGAGAGCGTGCGTATGCGTGCATGATTGCTGTGTGTATGGTGAGAGAGAGCGCGAGAGGAGAGCGATAGTAAGGAGCAAGATTAAACTTGCCGTACGTTAAGTGGGGGCTCTCACGCGGGCTTGTTGCGTTCGCACGCAAGTAAGATCGCAATAAGACGAAATAAAAAAAAAAAGGGCGGGGAGTTAACCGGGTGCGACTAATAGGGCACGCCGCTAATCGCTGTCGTGGCCATGGGTAAGACGCCAAAGAAGGCGGCCCCTGGGGGCGATGAGAGGAATTTGTACGTTCGGAGGCTCAAGGCAACGACCGTGCCGTCGAGAGCTTCTGAATCTAGCTTGCCCGAGAGACAGCGCGAGTCCGAGGCGTCGAACAGGTTTGTAGAAACAATCAGCAACCAGCGAATTGCAAGTTCCGCCAGAGTTTCTCAGTCGCGCGATGTATATATATATATATATATGTGTGTGTATGTATATATATATATGCATACACACGCTTATCTCTTTCAAGTCTACCTGACCAAATTTCTCCCTAGGCCTACCTGGAAGTGGAGTTGCAGATTGTAGTAAATTGTTTGTGTATTGGCACTTGATGCGACACTTGGAACTTGTTAGTTGCTTGCCGCTGTAGTTTACGGGGTGTCGGTTTATGTTGTTTGTAACGTTTGCCAAAGAATTGGGATATTGCATCGAGATCATGTCATACCTAGTCATTCTTAAATGTAGTCGCGTTTACAAGTACATTGTAATCATATCGCATAAACGTCACTGAATTTCGAAGCGAAGAATCAATGTTGCCAGTTCAGAATATCTTTTTTAAAGTTAAAGTCATGTTAAGACATATTTTGCAATGAAATAGGTTGCTGAACCAGACACCAACGTTTCAGATTTAATTTTACAAAGAGAACATTGTAATTGATGCATGTAAGAAAAGAAACAAAGATATTTTTTCCATTCTTAGATGAGAAACTTTGGTTCACCTTCTTTTACATACTTCTAAATTAGTTCCTCTCATCACCTCCAGCATTTCTTGCTCAAAGGCCATTTGTAATATGGCTTATCTCTTAATTGATTAATATTTTTTGTTATTTTGTTATTTTAGGCCAAAACTGGTTGGAATACAGAAGAGAATAATACCGCCTGGACCAGGAAAACATTTTAAGGTATATACTTCTAATTTTTCTTAATTTCTTATTTAATTTAAAAACTATTATGATCTAAAACAAAATCTAATGTGATTTTATTTTGACTAGATTTTAAATAATTATTTGGAAATTATTGTAATATATTGGTTTATTCATAATCATTGAAATTGTATTACATTTCATGTACTTAAAGTGTTATACTTTATTTATTTGGACGATATTAAGTAGTAATCAATTGATTAAAATGAACTAAAGACAACACTGATATTTATTAAGAACTTACTATTAAGATAATGTTATCTATTAGTATCAATTAGGTATAGGCTTATCAGTATGAATTTATATGGATATTTTACATGTTATAATTGTTTGATGTAATTATGTACTGCTTACAGATTTGTTTTTTTATTTAAAAAAAAATCATGTTTTATTTGTTATCCATTAATAATCTTATATACCTCTATTTCTCTATATTTAATAATTTATATGGAGAAAGAAATGAGTGTGCGAGAAACAATAATAAAGTTAATTGGTATATATAATGTTGTAATATGAAAATATTTTATATTCATTATTTAATTTATTTACTATTGTTGAAATATTAAACACTCTATTTTTATTTGCTTATTTTATAAGCAGAATGTTGGTTTATATATGTGTATATATATATTTTTATTTAATATAATTAAATTTCTATAAAAATTATGCATAAGTATATAAATATCAATAAAATATGTAGTCTGTATAATAATTACAAATTGATTGAGATGCACAATGCATAACTCATGCTGATGATAAGTCTATGACTTTAAATTATGTATTAGGTTCTTTTTGCATTGCCTTAGGTCTTTGCAATGTAGAAATAATATATGTTATAGAGCAAACTTCGCCCTCCAACAAAAATTGAACAACATCAAACAGCAAAGCAATTTAAAGTACTAATGAAAAATCCAGAAACAAAAAGTACAGACATGCAGCCAGGATCGGACGAAGCTGAAGTCAAATTGAATGTTTCAATTCAAAAAGAAAATGTTACGGAAGAGAACAACAAAACTGTTGAAGCTGTTGAGAATAAGGAAGGATATATTGAACATACCTTCGAACTGGTGTCAAGCGGACAACTTCAAACATCTGCGAAACCTATCCAGGAGGTAATATTTGTGGAGAACGTTACTGTTTCCCAAGAAAAAGAAGGAGTCGTAGGAAGTGTTAATGCTGAAACCAAAGAAGTGGAAGATCAAGAAGGTGACATCAAAATAATATTTGAATCTGAACAAATTTCCATAAATAATGGAGAAGAAAAATTGGACGATAAACATCCGAAGGACAAGGGTAAAGGAGAAGAATTACCTCCGGTACCAGAGGAAATGAAGAACGGTAACGGTATAAATGAAAACGAAGAGATGCAGAGCGAAATTTCTGTCGACAACCAAAGCTGCTCGGTCGACATCGTTGAATCCACAACATCGGAAATATCCGAATTGTCGGAATCCGTTAGTCAGAATGACACACAGAAGGACAAGGAAAGAATTGACGATACCATGAACGATGCTTCATTCGTTTCTTACGATTCAACTATAATGCTGAAAGATGTACAGATCAGACTCAACGATTGTCTGAAAGACAATTCGAAGCTTTATGACGTAAGTAACACGGACGATATGCCGAATCAACTGTTAAAGGACTTTTCGTTTGGAAAGACGCTGAGAAACATCTCGGGAAGACATTCCATCGGTCGAATGCGTCACGTTACTTTCCGTGAGAAAAGGATATCGCCGAATAGTTCTCTCTTTGTGAATACATCAGCTATGTCTATGCCACAGGATGAGGGAACGGAATCTAAACATTTACATTATGGCAGCGGTTTATTGTCCGACAGTTTCTCTACGAACGGTAGCCCATTAGACAGAAAACGTAGAATTGAAACGGAGAATTGGGGCTCGGCGAAAAAACAGAAATCGGACGAAGAGAGCAGTAGTATATTGAATACGTCTATAAATCTATTGAAAAGTCTGCGCATACCTATGCAGGTATCCTCCACGCCGAAAGCCACACCTTGTAAGTTTGAAACCAAGTTAGACATTAGCGGAGTAAAAGATGATGACAATAAAATGACGGCTGAACCAACTGCAGAGAGTACAAAGAAATGGTGTGTCATCATGTAAACTGTCGTGACAGTCAAAGTATCATTATACGAAAAAAAAAACATTTTTATATTTTCGGAAAAAGTACCAAAAACTATACAATCAGAAGTATTGCTTTTTAGCTTTTACTGGTAGATAATTTCTCTTCTAATCGATTGAAAATAATTGCATCATTATTTTGTTATTGTTCTTACAATTTTCTCTACCATATATATTTGTTCTATAACTTTCGGAAATTTATTTGCGATATTAGGATATACAATGTATATTTTCAATAATTAAATTAGACGAATTCCATGCGCTGTTTCCACCGTGTAGATTGCTGAAACTATTGTAGTGTGTAATTTTTCGATGTCAATTTTGGGATAAGGTTATCTAGAAAGGAACAAATAAATTAGATAAGAAAAGTACAATTTTATTAACTTTTGACACGACTATTTTACAAATAAAGACTTGATTCTATGAAATGTACCAACATTTAATACGGTATAATATAAAATGATTAAGCCCGCATGTACAGAAATATTATATGTGTTTAATTTCAGTACATGTCTCCCAATTTACGACCTATGACATATATGATTATGATTTGTTATTATCTTTAATGTCGTTCTTTAGAGAGATCATTAAACAGGTTTTATTTCCATTACAAATATAAATAAAAATGATTCTGCAACGCAACGTTATATTAATCTAATGTTTATTTGGGACTAATGATACTTGATTATTGCTTTATGCATATGTTATCACATAGCTATTATCGTTAGAAAATTCATATTTCACATATTCACGACATTTATTCATGCAATGTAATATTCATATTATGTAATAGAAATACATATCCCTCCTTAAGTATTTAGTTCTTAATGAAATATTTATATTTTTAATTTGTAATTCGTTGAATTTTGATAAGAGTGAGAGAGAGAGATTAAAAATGCGTTGTATTTCACGGAACTCTCTAGAGTTATCACGAACAAATTTTTGAAAGAAATAATAAGAAATTAATTATATAGGTATATCTTTTTCCTAGTTATAGCAAGTTGTTACTACCAGATAAGTTGCAGTGTTACTATTGCATTTATAATATCAACAACTTTTTAAGGTCTACTTCGCCGTAATGAAATATTGTTGACTACTATAAACGATCCATATACTTATTATCAAAAAGATTCAATAATTACATATTATATAATATTAGGTATATAATTTTTTAACTGATACAGATTTATTCTATATATTTTTAAAGAGGACGTAGTAATTATTCATGCAACTTATTCGGTGTAAGAATACTCATTTTTATCGAAAAATATTAACATCTGTTGCAACTGTAGAGTTCGAATGTAATCTGTAGATACAGAATTACATATTATTATGCAGTGTATCTTAAAAGCGAAACGAGAAATGACGAAGAGAAAACATATATCTTTGGAAAAATCTCATTTTGTATGCGACTTTATTTGTTAAAATTCTTGTATTCAAGACTTCTCATCTGTGGATTTAAGTAATTCTTATGTCATCCATTGAAAATGACGTTACGTTGCCTTTATATTAAATCTTTGTTGGGATATATACATAACATATATCGAGCTAGAGATATCACTTCGACCTTCCATCATATAATAAATGAGGATTAGAGACGATAAAATAATTCGACCAAAGTCAGATTTCCAGTGTCAGTCGATTTATTCGTTTAGATCTGTTGAGGATCATTATTAATTTCGAAAACATATTTTATGTAATGTGAAAAAAAGTGATTTATATATACTGTAATGCTGGCCGATTTTTTTATCAATATATAAAAATGTAATTTAGATCAATAATTAATTCAGGACTAAACGAATAATCGTTAGGACATACTTTTATACTTGTTCGATTAGTAAAAGCGTTAGAAGCATACCCAAGATGTACATAGGAACCCCTATGAGATTTATAATAAACTCTCGAAACTACAAACTTGTTCATTGATTATTTCACCGTCAAGTAACCCCACAATCTTTATTTCTGCGTTAACAGAAATAATTCTTAGATTTTAAATACGAGGTTATCATGTATTTTTTTATTACTTAATGGTATGTCACGTGATCATGTTACTATGTAATTTATTATATTGTTGAAGTTACATTATTAATTTTGGTCGTATATTTTCAATATGTTTTCTCTGTGTTTTTGCAGCATATATTTTTTGAAAATATAAACAAATGGTATGATAAAAAAAATGTAGGACAGAAAACTTGCCGATGTTATATGATGAAAAAGATACTATATTGAAGATACCCGTTGCCGCATTGAAAGCGCAATGAGATGCAAGAGATGGCGGTATAAAGAGAGATTTAAACGGGTAGAGAAATAATCTCATATCTCCTAGGTGCTTTTGATCGCATTCCAGAAATATGACGTTGAATCAACACAGCGAGGAAAGATGTATCTCGGACGAGTGGCCTAGTTAAATTGATATCAACGTCATTGCAAATTGCTAATTACATTATAATTTACAACTTGTACAATTGGATGACATTCACTTGAAATTTTAAGCGTCATTCTTATTTTAAGAGCGCCTAATTGAACATAACGTAACATAATCAAAATATAAGAAATTGTTGTTTCATGGAAAAAAATTAAATTGTTTTATTTTTGAGAATGTGATGAATGTTGAGACAGTTGAAATTGTTATTAGAAATTTCCGTCATTAATAATGATTAGTTAATTTACGTCATTGATAAAAAGGAAAATACTGAAGGGATATTATTTATTTCGATGTATTTGTGTGTTAATTTTATCAATAAGTACGTAGAAAATCGTTTGACGATATAAAATTATTAATGTCTATCGAACACGAGATTGGTACAGCGAATTCTTAAAGCATATTCTAGCCTCAATTACGTGGTAATCGTGGTATATTTCAGTTATTAAGACTTCCTCTCAGACGAAACTGCGCCAATTATGCTTAAATTTGATTCGTCTGAATTTCTGCCTTGATATCAGTCTTCGTAATTAATATCGCTCCTTTCTTCTTCTTCTTGTTAGAATAAGGGTCCTACAATTATTTCGAGATGTATTTCAATAAATGTAATAAACGTTTCGTTAAACGTTTTTATTGTTAATTTACATAATTTTAATATAAATGTGTAACGATTGAAACAATACACAGCTTTGTTATAAAATAGAGCTTATCGATTATTAAAATATCATTGTCGACTACTTTGAGTATTAATTTAATATAAATTTCATACATTGAGCATTAAAATCCCTTAGCGTAGATATAAATAACATATGTGTTAATATTTCCTAGCGTTATACAATTTAATTGCAAATCTAATTATTTTCTTTCGTTATTATGTTCTTAGATTCTATATTCTATATATATTTTATAATCATATTTTGATTGTAACGGATAGGTACGTCTGTGTAATTTGCTCAAGTTTCGAGAAGTCTAAAAATAATTACAATTTACAATTTCTTATAATATCAATTATTAAATCGAAAAGATAAATATTTTTACAGGTACAGCAGTTACCGGAGAAAAACGTAGCTGTCTCGTATTAAATATGAAGATACATTATATCATTCACGAGAAAATTAATATTTATTTTAAACTTAATATCTTATTAAATATGACAAAAATATGCACATTTTTTCATTCGGTTTTACGAATATTTCCTTTCTTATATTCATTTATAAGTATATTATGGTTTTTATTTGTCGTCTTTTTGGATTAAGTACCGTATCGATTGATACGTTTAATATAAATCTTTTTCTCTCTTTCTTTCTCTCTTTTTTTCTTCTCAACGATAACATAATGTAGATAAGAACCGTGTAAACAAGAATGGCAAGACACTGCAATATACACCGTGTCATACTACCCTGAATTCTTGATTCTGCGGTCGGTGGAACCACGAGCAACACGCCCGAGATACGTTTCTGAAATTTAAGGTCCGGTTGCGGCGTCAAGTGTCAACGGTGTAGAATGCATATCATAAGCGCGAATGAAATTGGAGCATGCTGCGGGCGCAGCATCCCACACGGGGGATTGTCTCTGCTTTTCATTGTACATTCAATTAGCGAGTTCGACCTCGCACGTTTCTCTATTTTTGTTACCAAATTATAATTGTACTTCTGAAAATTCTGAGTCATTTTTATGTCATAAATTGGTATCTCGTAAATTGATAATTGTACTCAGAATTATTTGCGGCATATTGTATTTTTATAATTATGTATTGTGTATCTCTGTAAATTTTATATGTTATTTTCTTCTCTCTCTCTCTCTCTCTCTCTCTCTCTCTCTCTGTCCGAGACTTTTCTTCCTCAAAATGTACTCTAAAAATTATATCACGTTCTGAGATAAAGATACATTTTTCTGTGACTATTAAATCAATATGTTATTTTATTATTATTAATTTACACTTAATTAAATCGTTAGAAAAAATCATTGTATATAGTTTCGCTTATCTGGCTCGATCAACTTTCTCCCTGTATATATTTCAAAAATTTCATTTATACGAAAAATATTTTTGCATGTTTTTCAAACATATTTTTTAATTCTGCATGAATTCCCTTTTTATTTAATTTTTTTTTTTTTTATAGAAAAATCGCAGTGCTTCAGCAAGTTAACACGACGGCTCTGTGAAGGCAGGGACCTTGGCAGCCCTTCCGAAGTCCTGGCCACAGGACCGATCTGATTCTGGTCCCGTGCGGATTCGGGGAGGCGTGATGCCTCACGTGCACCTCTCGACGGAACTCAAGACTCTGCGCCGCGTCGAGCACCAGCGGCGTGGAACGTGCCAGGCACGCCCAGGCCAAAGTGGAGCACGCGGTGGCGTAACTCTTGACCTCGGCGCAGCCACGCAAACACGGAAAGTCGTACAGTGTCCTCTCCAACTGGCTGACCACCTGCTCGGCGACCTCACGGGAACCGGTCTGCGCCCCGGAAGTGGCCAGCTGCCTTTTTATGCATTCCTCGAGCTCCGGAGTCGCTGCCGCCGTCTGGGTCGCGGCCGCGCCGTTCAGGATCTTCAAGGCTTCCAGGCGCCTCGACGTCTGGACCATGCCGGCAAGACGCCACGAGAGCTGCGAAGGGCAAGATATGACGATTAGCGGAGGCTGCGACTGGTGAGCTTGTAATTCCGTTTCTAAAATATGCATGCCGTGCAATATAAATGCGCGCGTAAATTACGCGCGTCTGCTCGACAAGATGCTGCGAGTTACTTCCGCAGGTGTTTATTAAGATATTCAAGACGAATATAATAGAATGGAGAAGGAGTCGGGCACGTTTCGCGTGCGACGCAGTATAATTATCACGAACGGATGTTTTAGGTAGAGATTAGAGGTGGAACAGATTTCAGAACGTATCCGCTCATTCATGATTGACGTTGACATATAATTCATACGTATCACGTTGGAATCATTTTAGTGCAAACAATCGAATAATTTCTTTTGCGTGGAAATTTCACGATATATAATATCAGATTAACGCAGTAATATTTGATAAACATTATATCTTGCAGATATTATTAAAAATGTATAATCCTCTAGGTCGAATAAATCATTATTATACTTTTATTGTACACCCATTAATTTTTACAAGATTTATATAACAATGTTTATCTTTTACAATATTTTAAAAATATCGCAGCAACGATGTCGGCAAAACCTGAAATGTGCAGAAATATTCGCTAGAAATTACATTTCCCTCCAGTTATTAATTGTAAAACACATTTTACCGCTGCCACGTTATTATGGGGTATATGTCGATCGTAATCTATGAAATCGAGGCAGCGTGGAAATCACTGCTGTGAGCTTTAATTAGATAACATGTAAGCGCGTTTCTCTTGCGTTTTTCAAGTTATCGCGTAATTGCGATGGAATCCCGCAGAATCACATGGCACAAAAGAATCCTCTTCGGGTTTGCAGTGATAATTTATGAGCATTGTTGATGAATTATCACTTTTAACAGCGGCTCGTCTTTAACGGTTAACTGTTTTCTCAATACCGTTACAGACGCGAAGTTTCGCGATTGCTATATTATAACTTGTGCGTTTTTTTTAGATATTTTTATAAATGTATAAAAACTAGACAGACTTAAAGAATCGGTATGTTACTAAGAACGTAATGCGATATCATTTCCCCGTTCGTTTGTGTAACCCAGTATTTTCTTGTGCTTAAAAGAAATCGATATTTCCGTAGTTGATTCACGAAGAGTTTAAAAACTTCAATTTTAAAAACTTGACGCAAACATTCTTCTGGTTTGAACATTGAAATTATAATGTAATGGAACTTGTAACAGAATCCTGATTAATTCATTCCTTAATATTTTATTACATTTGAATCGATGATTTAGAAATATTATATTATCGGTAATTTATACCAAAAGAGAATTATATTCTATGATATCACCATTATTTTATCCAATTTAATAACGGATAAATACATATTAATATTATGAAAACTTTAAAACTGATATCAATTGTGTTATGACGAAGCATTTAAACTATTGTTACTTAAAATATATGTGGACAGATTCATGATAACTTTTGGCCGATATTAATATCAAGAATGCCCGAGAAAGTTACAGAACTGCTGATACACGAAATTCCGCGAGATTGAGTTAGAACTTAAAGTTCTAGACTTTGACTGCTCTGCGTGACCGCCAGCTGAATGTAGCGTGGGTTGCAGTATCCATAGCGCAACATTAAATTGAATTGTAATCGGTTGCTGAAGTTGTTATTTGTGTAAGCAGCGTCGCGAAGAATTGCTTCTGAATAACACACTATCGTCCCTTTCCTAAGTTTTCTCTTCTCGCGTTTACAGTCGAGAGAAGCAGTATTTCTGGGACACTCTGTACAGCGGGCGTGGGTGTGTAAGAAAGAGCGAAAAAAAACTGCCTTCGTTGCAATATCTATTTTATCGCGTGCTTCTCGCGTATTCGTGTGTGAAAACCATCTTTCCGCTGTGCAGCATATTAGCTGCGGGGCGATAGGCTATCAGGTGTACAGATGTACCGTGCTCGATCATTCGCAATTGCATCAAAAAAGCAACGCCAACGATATTTTGAATATCAATTGCTTGTCTTTTGCAGAATTCGATTTAACTGACATGCTGGACGTTAGAAATTCGAACGATTTAACTGCGTCAATAGTTAACACAATTACACACATAGTTTTTGACGTTATTACATCAATGATAAGTTCACGAGGAAATCTTTATTTCTAATTATATAGTTAATTGATCGGCATTTATAGAATTTTCAGTTAAAAAAAAGATTATATGTGAAACTACATGTAAAATATTTTTTCCAACACAAGTTGATATTTATCTTTTATTGCAAAAGTAATTTGTTGTAATTTGTCGAAAAGAAATAATTTATAATTGTAAATTATTTTTTATGTTCATACACTTTTAATTGTCAATTTCTCATATTCTATAAATAAATTTCATAAAATCGAGTATATATGGCGATAATAATAAAAAAAATAATCATAAAAAAATATAGTTTATAAAAAGTATACTTGATATAAGGTATAAATATTCCTGCAGAATATTCATGTATACAAATATAGGAATATTCGTTGCTCGAAATTCATTTTAATTCTTGCGCATATAAAGTTTAATATTATAAATGTTTTGTTTTTTCTTGATATTGATATTAATCAAAGTTACCATATAGATTTGTTTATATTAATTTATATTAACTAATGACTTAAACGCTTATTCATATCATGACTTAATCAGTTCTGGCATATTTTTGCGACGGTGTGTTCTATCTACGAATACATTTAAGATAGGTACACAGGAGGATGAAAAGCTTCCCCGCGCGGAAAAGAAAACAAAAATGCACGAGGCAAATGGATATAGTGAAGGAATGCCTTCGTCGTGCTTATTTTACTGGAAAATCTGTGCGCCAAACGAGATAGCGGACGGAATAGCGAGTTAGATATCTCGTCTGCATTATTTAAGAAAGCGGTTGCCTTTCGTACTTTATTTGATACGGTAGTGAGAGGAGAATAAGCTTCTCTCCGAAGGACGTTTTACTGGATTTCGGGGCTTTAAAGTATCGATCAGTGGCTGCCAATATTTCGTTCTTTCTTCAATTCTTTATTCCGTCGTCTTGGCCATCTTGATGATATTTGCGTAAGATATACCGAAAGAATCTCTGCGTACAAAGAGCCATTTCGGGCTTACAAATAAATCGTATTGTCGATTGAAATCCGCTTAATATATTCATAACGGAATTAGTTGCCACAACTCGTCTCAAAAGGACGCGTCGGACTCCCGTGACTCGACGCTACTCGACACCGCCAGTTCTGACGTCGTCGGAATCACACGGTGATGACACTTGTCGAAGAAAATATATGTATTTTACGAATCCCCCGGTCGGGTTATCGACCAAGTGACAACAGACCGTTCTACAAGGTGACATAAACGCGCGCGCGTGAGGGTATCGAGGAGGAATAGTCCGTGTTAGCGCGTGTGTGTCGCTTTCTTCGTGGATATTTATTTTAGTTCATCGATTTCCGAGATATCCATGTGAAAGGTACCTGTATGTATCCGTGTATGTATGCAAAGTACCTAATAGCCTCAGGCTGACGGACTAGCGTCTCTCTCTCTCTCTCTCTCTCTCTCTCTCTCTCTCTCTCTCTCTCTCTC